ATCTGCTCTAGAAACTAGCACGGTTTCTAAGTGGAGCATATGAGGCACACGGCGTAGTGTTTGTATAGCATCACTGAACCAACGTCCATCAACAGCAGTCTTATGATCTCTTCCACTTGTGGATATCATCAGCATCCTCCTCCTGCGCTGCCTTCACATCACCCAGCGCAATCATCAGCTGTGCCAGGTAGTATGTTGTCATAATAATATGCTTTTTGTATTCGACATCAAAGACATTGAACTTTGTCAGTGCAATCGTGAGGTCAGAAGCCATGAAGACCAGGCTGCCCAGCAGGATGAGAGGCCGCCGTGTACGAGCAGCCAGTGTAGCCATGATGACAATGAGCAGTATGTAACCCCCTATGGCTGGGACGAGAACGTCAGCTTCTGGATCAAGCTGTAGGAAGGGCACCAGGTAAGCATACATTCCAATGCCGAACAACCACAGGATGAGGTAGACGATAAAGAATGAGACAGACGAAGATGTTGCAGAAAATCGAGAGGACAGGAAGGAAAAGGAGTAAACCAAGTGGGCCAGAGCAAAACAGCCCATTCCTAAAAATAAAAAAAAGACAGAGATAAGACTGTGAAGCAGAGTTATTATAGTTAACTTAAACTACAACCATAACAAAAACTATGCACGTATATATGTTTGTATAAACTTATTTTATGTCAGATAGGTGCCAGTGAAACATTTCTCTTTTTTAATTTGATTTACCTTGATATACTAAAAGAACTCAAACTAAAATAAAAACTATATAGACATATTAAAAAAAATAATTTAAATGACAAAAACACAACAAAATTATCAAAACTAAAATTAAAATGAAAAATATAATGAAAAAAATAAAAACTAATTCAAAATATTAATAAAAACTATGACAACACTGCTATGAAGAAATTTGTCATTAATAATAAGTAAAAAAGAAATATAAAATCTAACAGATATGAATATAATATACAAAAAGAAAATATAACAAATATGAATATAAATAATATTAATTTCATTTTTTTTATTATTAACAATTTTATGGCAAATTCCATTATTCTGAAAGGTGATTCTCAGTTTATTCTTATTACTGTAATACTTAAAAATACTGTATACACACACACACAATGATAATAATAATGATAATATATTATTGTGCCTTATGGTCTTAAAATAGTAAGAAAGTATGAAAAGTAAGAAAGGTTTTTTTCCCCTTATAGTGAAATATGACCTGGAGGTTTTGGTAGTGCTTTTTGTCAGTAACCCTGATAGTCTTAAACAAAGATATAGGACAGGAAGAAATAACCTTTACCATGGATAAAAAGTTCTGGCCAAATAAGGCAACAGTCTCCGCCCGCTGAGAGCAGCAGCCCTCCAGCCACGCCCACTAGACTCCGTCCCCCATTATAGATGAGCACCAGAAGGACCAGACAGAGGATGGGAGTAGCCTTAATGCCAGCAGCCAGAAGAGAGGGGGCGGAGTCTGGGATCCACAGGTAGAAGTATATTGCACAGGATGCGAAAAAAGGGAGAAGATAAAGAAACAGTACACAGGTCTGGAAATGAAGAAATGGAGAAAATAATGAATACAGGCATGATTTATATTTTAAAAATACACAGTCTGCACTCATTGTGCTCTAAACAAAATCCAATCAGTATTACAATGCTTTTATTAAACATTAACTGCAAATATCTTTATTATAAAAGAAAATAACAGAGGATATGAGTGTGATGCAAAGCCAGAAAAATTATTTTGACTAAATTGTTACTAAATGTGGATTTGAATGAGTAAACTGGATGTGATAGAAGTGCACAAATAAGCCCACAAGAGCAGAACACAGGTGTCTGTATTTGTGCGCAGGTGTGTGTGTGTTAGCTGTGATTACCGTGTTCCTGCGTTGTCTGCGGTCATAAGCACTTGTTTCCAGGATGTCCATCTCTCTCTTCTGGCCTAAGCAGTCATACACGCAACGTTCTCAGATGTGGGCCACCTACTCCACAGCTGGGAGATCTGTAATGCCTCTGTGAACTATGTATGCCAGTGTGTTTCGTTGGCTGGGGTAGGTCTGGACTTTGGACCATTATGAGTGATGCGTTATCTGTCAGATTGTTCTGTCATAAACAACTTACACCCCTCACTCTCTCTCCCTGTTTCTGTGCCTGTCTCTCTCTCTCTGCCTGTTTCTCTCTGCAATATGGCATGTTACCCTGTAGTGACATCATCGCTAAGAGCAAAGGTTTGATGATTGAGACACAAGTTCAGGGAGATAAACCTTTTTTTTTTATTAATGATAGAACATTATCTTTCTCAGTCTGTTTTATGTCTTTTCAGCATCTTTTATTCACTTTATCAGCTTTTCTGATGTATGTGTGTGTGTGTGTGTGTGTGTGTGTGTGTATAAATATATAATTTACTACTGTGTATATTTGTGAGTCAAAATCATCATAATTAAAAGAACCAAAGACTTAAACTACTTCAGTCTGTGTGCATTGAATTTTTTCCCACGACATTCTAATTTACCGAGATGCACCTGTATTATGTGTATATAAATATACACACATACATGTATATATATATATATATATATAACGTGTGAGTACTTATATACACATAATAAATACACACAGATATTATGTAAACACAAACTTTTATTTTGGACGCAATTAACTGCGATTAATCGTTCGAGCCCCAATTATTATAATTCCTATTTGTTTTAATTCCTATTGATCATTAGCTTCTCAGTTGTTAGTGGTTTTAACAGCATGGTTGTAAAAACTGTTGCAATTCTGGAGATATTTCCATATTCACCCACTTTTACCCACTTGAGGGCACCACTGAGCTGCAGTGTTATGATATGAAAAGGGGGAAATTATTGTCATTGAATGTATGATATAATAATATAACATTTTTGTCATACATTTGTTAATAAGTGTGATTTGAGACTTGTATATGTAGAATATGTAGATTTTTGTTACTGGAAATAAAGTAAACGTTACCTATAATGAATTTTTTCTTCAGTCTGTGTGCATTGAATTTTTTCCCACGACATTCTAATTTACCGAGATGCACCTGTATTATGTGTATATAAATACACACACATACATGTATATATATATATATATAACGTGTGAGTACTTATATACACATAATAAATACACACAGATATTATGTAAACACAAACTTTTATTTTGGACGCAATTAACTGCGATTAATCGTTCGAGCCCCAATTATTATAATTCCTATTTGTTTTAATTCCTATTGATCATTAGCTTCTCAGTTGTTAGTGGTTTTAACAGCATGGTTGTAAAAACTGTTGCAATTCTGGAGATATTTCCATATTCACCCACTTTTACCCACTTGAGGGCACCACTGAGCTGCAGTGTTATGATATGAAAAGGGGGAAATTATTGTCATTGAATGTATGATATAATAATATAACATTTTTGTCATACATTTGTTAATAAGTGTGATTTGAGACTTGTATATGTAGAATATGTAGATTTTTGTTACTGGAAATAAAGTAAACGTTACCTATAATGAATTTAAAAAAAAAAAAGATTTTAAAAAAAACTTGAAAACACAACAAAATTACTAAACCTCTAAAAAAATCTAAATGATAATGGAAAATATAAAAATTTAAAAACTAATTCAAACTAATAATAAAACCTATAATTGTATCTCAAAGATACTAAAATAGCTGTTTAAAGATCACTGTTTCCACCATGAACAATACTACAGAATATCCAAATGCCAGTGGACTCACACAGTCTCTAATCATTAACAATCCTGGCCGACATGCACTTTAACCTGCTCTATCCCAGTCTCTCAAGCTCAAACAGTGAAGAGATCATCGAAAAGAAAAAGAAGTAGAGAAAAGGTGAGGAATTAGGAGGTAAGTGAAGGTTGTGAGGACAGATAGTGTCAGTGAGATCAGTGTGTTCGAGATAAAGGAGAATATATAGTTGGACACTGACAGAGAGGTGGAGAAAATGAAAAGGGGGAGGAGCCAATGATTAAACCAAGAGCATGTGTGGGGAATATAAAAGCAAATCTAGTACATGCTGGTTTGATGTTATAGAGTTTACAAAATACAGTTGTTGTTGTATAGATGTGAATAATAATAAGCTCTCTTTAACTACTTTAGCAGACCGACAAATTAAAAAAATGATTTTATGGTTCATCTGCTGAATCCCCTTTCTCACGTTGTAGATATGACTGATAGAGCCTTAAAGGTTGGAATTGTGGGATATGGACATTTAGGTGAGTTCTCCAACAAAAACGTATGTTTCAAGAGCCACAACTTTCTCTGCTTTGATTAAATTTGCACTTAAAATCTAATATTGCAAAATAGCATTGACAAAAGAAGAACTTTCATTAATAATCGTTACTGTTTTAAAATAGTAAATAATACTATTTTTATTTTTCTCAAGGAATGAGCGTAGAAGAACCGTACATGTTTGCATAGGTCGTTTAAAACCAGGAAGTATCAGGGAATTTTAAAAAAAAGTTCTGAGCCTCATAGAATTCATAAAAATGTCTATAGTATATAGTGATTATACAGTTTTACATATGATCTGCACATTAATATTTCAGCTGATAAGAGATTGCTCATGTGTTTATTTTAAGCCATTTTATGCCCCATATGTGAGTGTGTGAGTCTGTTCTTTGTTTAAACTGATTCACAGATCTGTCTGAATGATTCATTAGCGAATCTGTCTTAATTTGATTGATTTGAAAAATCATGGAAATTTATTGGCCAAAAAGTGTGGAAGAGCTGTAATCACTTTTATGTTCAGTTCATGTTCTGTCAGGCCATGAATCTTGTATTTATTCTTTTATCCTTATTTAGGCCAGTTTCTTCTTCAGCCTGAGGGCTGCAGTTAGCATTTGTTTGGAACCCGAAATGCAGACCAACTTAGAGATTCATTGCCCAAAGAGCTGATTCTACATGACCTCTCAGATTTCACACGCAGGTAAAATTTGTATATAATTTGTTTATATAAAGTTTGTATGCACATGTATGTTGCATTTTTGTTTAAATGGAAGAGAGACAGCAAAGCAGAGAGCATTACTGTGGCACTTACATGTGTTTTATGTGTGTGTTTGGTGTTTCAGAGAGACCAGTGCATTATGGGGTGGCCAAGATATTAAAAAAATGAATGACAGTGGAACTTTGCGGTTAAGGCTATTTTCTTATAATTATTTTTAAACACAAATTAAAGCACTGTTCAAAATCTGACTGTCCATAAAAAAAATATTTATCTCCAAGAGGTGGTCTGCCAGAATGAAAATACTAAATATTAAGTTAGCATAACCAAAACAAAATTTCAACATATGTTTCATTGTCCCTGCCACATTAAAACATATCAATTACATTTCAAATGTTTTCCTTACAGGCTCTCTCCATCCGAATGTCTAAACATCCCCCTTGCTTTCGGCTGACTGGTGGTCTGCTCTCTGATTGGATGGAGGGAGAGGGGAGGCGGGTCTTGTACAATGGTTCAGTAGCAGAGCTCTGCCCCATCGCCCCAAATAATGTGAACACTATGGCAGTTGCAGCCATAGATGCATCTAAGTTGGGCTTCCATGGGGTTACCGGAGAAATCGTCTCAGACACTGTGTGAGTCACAAACTAGACCTAAACTGAACAAAATTATAATTATACACTTTTGTTTTTGCCCCATTTTTCATGAGCTGAACTCAAAGATCTAAGACTTTTTCTATGTACACAAAAGGCCTATTTCTCTCAAATATTGTTCACAAATCGGTCTAAACCTGTGTTAGCATCCCAAACATGCTCAATGGATGACACAGTCAGGTCGAGACCACGATGAGGACGATGAGCATGCAGATGAGCTTCCCTGAGACAGTTTGTGCAGAAATTCTTTGGTTATGCAAACCGATTGTTGCAGCAGCTGTCTGGGTGGCTGGTCTCAGACGATCTTGGAGGTGAAAATGCTGAATGTGGAGGTCTTGGACTGGTGTGGTTACATGTGGTCTGCGGTCGTGAGGCCGGTTGGATGTACTGCCAAATTCTCTGAAGCGCCTTTGAAGATGGCTTATGGTAGAGAAATGAACATTCAATTCACGGGCAAAAGCTCTGGTGGACATTCCTGCAGTCAGCATGCCAATTGCATGCTCCCTCAAAACTTGCGACATCTGTGGCATTGTGCTGTGTGATAAAACTGCACATTTTAGAGTGGCCTTTTATTGTGGCCAGCCTAAGGCACACCTGTGCAATAATCATGCTGTCTAATCAGCATCTTGATTTGCCACACCTGTGAGGTGGATGGATTATCTCGGCAAAGGAGAAGTGCTCACTAACACAGATTTAGACCGATTTGTGAACAATATTTGAGAGAAATAGGCCTTTTGTGTACATAGAAAAAGTCTTAGATCTTTGAGTTCAGCTCATGAAAAATGGGGGCAAAAATAAGTGTTGCGTTTATAATTTTGTTCAGTGTAGTTTTGATCTAGTTTCTGTGATGAAGCGGGAAGTAAACTGAAGTGGCACTTGGCACTATGATAGGGGTTTTTGGGGGGGTGGTTGCTAGGGCGTTGCTATGTTCTGTAATTACTAAGGGGTTCAGAGTGATTTTTAGGATGTTTGATGCTAGTGTAACCCCTCTCTTCCAGGTCCTCACCGCCACACCTCATTCTTGTTCCGAGTGGGTCTCGAACCCGGGTTTCCGTCATGGGAGGTGGACGCACTAACAAGGAGGCTAAATGACTGCAGCCGCATCTCTCTTGAGATCAGGGGAGTGAGGGTTACCTGCACAGCACCTACCTGCTGGACTCCGTTACACTAGGTGGTTGCTCACTTACACAAGTAAAAAATGTAAGGGTCCCCGAGTCCCAGGTTTGGGTTTTTGATCAAATCCCTAACCGTTAATATGACCTATAGGATTTGTAACGTGAGCATTAGCATTCTAAGAACATGATTATTGCGATCTCTCTTTCTCCTTCTCTCCAGATTATCAGACTACCATATTGTGGAGGCTGAGGTAACTGGTCCAGATGGGTTCACAGTGAAAACGGTGCGACAAAACCCTGCCAAACTGGGAGCTGTAACAGGAAATGCTACATACAATTCCTTCTGGAGCAGCTTACTGGGTATGTGTGTGTAAGAAAGACAGATGGAGTTAACTGACGGAGTGCATAGCCAAAAAACACAGTATGAACATCCTTAGCCAAATCTGGATTTACACTGGGAATGCAGGCATAAAAAGCCGTTATTCTATTGTAAACATTTTAGATTATTTTGAAGATTTTGGTCCTGCTAAAATTTAATGAAAAGTCCAAAAATGGTACATGAATATGCTGTTACATGTCTCTCTGTTTTATTATATATTTTATCTGAATATCTGTTTGTCATTTTTCAGTCTGCAAGGGTCATGGAGGGAGGGTATATCGGTGTTGATAACATCAGATTGCTGCAGAAAGTTAACCGAAGAAAAACACATGATGTGGCACATGATGAATTAATAAAACGAGTGTCATGGTAACAATGTTGTAGACTTTAATTTCAGTTTTACAGCTGTGATAGACATGACAAACTCCAACAGTGCTGGTGTATATTTGTATTACAGTCCCAATGATGTTCCAGTGTATTTATTTGGCTGGTTAGCTTTAGCTACATCACTTGCTTGTCATTTAACTTAAACCAGGTTTTTTTTTTCTTTTAAATAACCCTAGAAAATCGCTGGATAGTCACTATGTATGTGACATTACATAATACTGCGAAGGGAAGTCTGGCAGTGAGTAAAGAACTGTAAGAATGTTTTCAGAAAACAGTATATTCTGTCATTTACTCAATCTAAAGTCTTTTAAAAGATGTATGAATTTTTTGCTTTCGTGAAACACAAAAGGAAAGTTTAGCTCTTTGAAATAAGCACAATGAAAATGAATAATGACTGTCAAACTATGATTTAAAGTAAATAACAGCTTAAATTTGGGTCTGTTGTTCATATAAAGATATTGTATGACATTAAAAGACTTAAAATAAAGTGCGAGTCTTAAGGATTATTCGTATGATATTTTTATTGTATTTTTTGGCCTTGACAGCCCCTGGTCACCCTCTGTGTTTATTTATTTTGTATATAAAAATATAAGATGAACATTCTTCAAAACCTCTTCTTTTGTGTTCCATGGAAGAAAGAAAGTCATACAGCTTTGGAAAAAGTATATACATCAATTTTTTCTTAAACTATTCCTGTAAAGCAGGGGTAGGCAAGTTCGGTCCTAGAGAGCCGCAGTGCTGCAGAGTTCAGCTCCAACCCTGAAAAAAAACTCACCTGCCTATAGCCTTAGTAATCCTGAAGACATTGATTAGCTTGTTCAGGTGTGTTTGATTAGGGTTGGAGCTGAACTCTGCAGGACTGCGGCTCTCTAGGACCGAACTTGCCTACCCCTGCTGTAAAGAGTTTCTAATAAAGATCTCTTTAAAACAAATGTTTGTAACATTTATTTTTATCGTCTCACTTTTATTTGTATTGTCGTTTAAGTTTTAACAGTGGCCATTTGAATGTCAGCTTTAGATTGGCATCATTGGCACACAGCTGGATGTCAATTTTATATGACTCCGTATGAATTGTAATATGAATAACTCCAGCTGCTATTTAATCCTTTGCTCTCTGTTGTTTTTTTATGAAAGACACCAGAGAAATCTTTCAACAGAAAGTCTTAAAATCACACTTTGGCTCACCACATACTTAAATATCTTCTTTATTTCTCTTCAGAAAACCAACATGCAGACATTCTGTTTGCAGGCATTACGTTCATTTTTAGGGGAGTGTTATTATGTGTGTAAAGTGTGTGTGTGTGTGTGTCACAGTGTATGTAAGTGCCTCACAGTATAAGCAGTGCGTGTATGTATGCATGTAGGGGTGTGTTTTAGTTTTTCTCAGGAAGACCAACTGTCTGATTCTTGTTCCGGTTCGGCAAGTTGAACGGTTGGCGGATGTTGACCCGGTCTTTCTCCACCTCCAGATCTTCATCATACGGTTCCTCTTCATCTTCAGCCTCACTGTGATGAGGAGACGAGTGAAGAGAGTGGGCGGGAGACGGGGGAACTGAGGCGGGCCGCGGGTAACGGAAGCCTGTGGCCTGAATTATGTAAATAAAAGAATAAATGTCAACAAATATTTACATCTAGTTTTAGACAGCTGTCTAGAGCTGTCAGAGATTCTCAATCTTTTTGACTTCAAGGCCCCACATTGTCCACAACAATATTCAAAGGCCCCATGACTTGTCCAGTTTTATTTATTTTTACTTTCAAAATATTTTTAACTGAGTAGAAAAATGTATATTGTAAATATATTAAAATTACCATGGAAATTAAGACTCAAGTAATGTACATGACTATTCCTTGGCTAGAAATCACATTTTTAATATCTCATATATTCAGGTTTTTCATTGAGGAGGTGAATTAAAACAAGATATATCTTGATTTATAGTTTTTTATGTTAATTAAGTTAATTGTTGTTTTGTCTAATTTGAAATAATTTTAAGTCATCTTGAGGCCCCCTTTGAGGTCTGATGAGGACCCTGGTTGAGAATCGCTTTTCTAGATCATTAAACTTCAGATTTTTATTAAAATAAAACAAATAAACTCAATTTCAATATTATGCTTCATCATTTTAACTTACGGAAGTGGGTTCTTGAGGCTCATAGATGTAAGTGTCCGGGAAAGCTTTCGCTAAAGCCATATGGCGGGCAGAAACATAATACTAAGAAACAGAAACATGCTATATTAGTTCATGAACAATAAGCTGTTAGCTTTATTTTGATGCACATAAAGTTAATTGGACACATCTGGTGGCTGACAGTACCGGATGATCTGAAAATTCACTGTGTATTTTGTGTGTGTGTTATCTGACCCTGCCCAAATATCTCCAATCTAGCAAGTCACTGAGGCGCTCTGTCCGGTTCCTCTGAATGATCCTCTGCCTGCGGCTCTGCTGACAGAACTGAAACAGGAAAGACGTCAGCTGATTACAGGACTCATCCACCCCACGATACCGTCGATCCAGAATATAGATACCTGAAAGAGAGGGAATTTACAAGAATGTGCATTACACATAATGAAATGAAATAAATCTGATTCAAACAAAAATGAGAAAATCTTGTAGGTAATGTTCATCATTTCCATCATATATGTACAACTCTCACCGTAAGCTGATGGGTCGGCAATGTGCTCCTCCATGAAACAGCCAAATCCTGACAAGTTAGTGGAGACCGATGGGATGCCCATCACTGTACACTCAGCTGAGAAAATGATGCGTGCATTGTATTGAGTGGACGTTATTAATACATAATTCATACAATATCATTCAAAAGTTCGGGGTCAGTATTTAATTTTTTTAAGTCTCTTCTGCTCACCAAACTGCATTTAATTGATCAAAAAATCTGTAATATTGTGAAATTTTATTACAGCTTAAAATTTCACATGATGCTTCAGCTCAAGAAACATTTATTATTATTATCAATGTTGAATACGGTTGTGCTGCTTAATATTTTTGCTGCTTTTTTTATATTTTTGTGGAAACTGAGATACAATTTTTCTTTGATGAATAGAAAAAAATATTTTTTTAAAAATTATTTACTGTCACTTTTGATAAATGAAATGCATTCATTCTGAATAAAATGTATTTCTTGTTACTATAACAGAATATATAATTTCATGTATTAAAGCCATGTACTAAAAAAAGTGTTACAATATTACTGACCAAAGTTTTGAATGGATCATGCATGTACATAAATATGTACACGGTACACTGGTAGTGTGTGCAGTTTTACCTGGTGTGTATCCCCAGGGCTCATAGTAAGATGGAAATACTCCAAGATGGCAGCCTCTCACAAACTCCTCATAGTCCATTGGCAGGAGAGGAGAAGTTGAGGAGAGAAACTCTGGATGGAAGATTACCTAGTTAAGAATATGAGGCATTAAAGTGGATTCAGTTGTTTTTCTACATAAAGAATTAGTGCACCTTTAATTACATTATCCATTATAGTATAGTTATCTGAGTGAGTGTGTGTGTGTGTGCGCATGTACGAACCTTGACTCTGTCCTGAGCACTGTTAAAGAGGCCGATACGGCGGATGCAGTTGAGGATGGGGTCACTGCTGTCCTCCAGCATGTTGTGAGTACAGATGGGGGGCAGGCACTGGCGCTGGGTGGCGAAGATGGCACGTTTCATCATGGTGAAGTCCTCTTTATCTAACATCTTAGACACATCAGGCAGCTGTCCTCTAAAAACAAGAAAGCAAGCAATGTCACTCCTCAGAAGAGATTCATAAATTTTTTTAAAACAGTTAGAACACAAAAACCAACTCACACTAAAAGTGATTCGTAGAGTTTCTTCCCAAAGCGCTCCTTCACAGTCTGTGCAGTGTCCCTGTCAATACAACAAAGACGGAATTTCACAACAAAATTCATTCACTGTTTCAACAGTCCCTGTGTCCAAGTAAAAATTTGGGGAAAATTGTATATGGTTTTTGAACAACATGAGTGCGAGTAAATAAGAAAAGTTAGTTTTAACCATTTTAACTACTCTTTTCAATCAGGTGACATTCTGAATACTGTTTAAGTAAATCTATAAATAAATAAATATATTCCTTTCTACATCATCACACATCCATCACTGCAGAATGGCAACAGAAAACAGGCAGTTGTGTTAGGATGCTCTAGACCAGGGGTTCTCAAAGTCTACACTCAAAGGTCCAAATCTGAACTTTCATCAGTGTCAAAGGTCCGGACCGGAACAATTAGTTTTTAATAAACATACATAACATGCATAACAAATAAACATTGTTTTTTTGTTTTTTTAAATAAAGTGCAAAAGTGGCAAAACAATTAATTTAAGTGTCAGCAATAGAGGTCAACCCAATAAGGGTTTTTCTCTGGCCGATGCCGATATTTAGAAATCAGGGCAGCCAATGGCCGATATATGATGCTGATTTTTTTTGGCCGATATGTTTGGCCGATTTTTTTATTTATTTTTTTCTTTCTCATAAGGCGTTATGCAAATCTTCCCACATCGTGACGTAGATATGTGGGGGCGTGTTAGAATGAGCCGTTTTAGGTAGGCGTGGTTGACTCCTAACTTTTATAAAGAATATCTCTTTAGATTTGAGACTTTAGTTTTTGCAACTTTACAGATCTTCTTTATGCACCAAGAGCTTGTAACATTCCAAAGAGAAAGGAAAAATTGAAATCGCATCATATGACTCCTTTAATGATAGTTAAAGACAAACATGTCCTTAGTCAGTAATTTTTATTTTGTTTATTTACAAACTAAAATTCTAATTACCTATGATATTTTAGGTTTTTATTCTTCTGGAGATGCCAGAACCTGGAGTCACCAGGTCAGAGAGTTTGTTGGTAACTTGAACCATAGGGGTCTGCTTTGAACGTTTCATACTTGAGGGACTCCATACACTGTGCAGGTCAAGGTGTATGAACATGTATGTGTGTGTGTGTGGCGTCTGTACGTGTTCTGCTTCAGATATGTGTGTGTGAGCGCACTTACATGCTGGGATGTGTACATATCTGCTTTTATATACATAATATGGTAATGCACATACATGCTGATGTGCCTTTGCACGTGTCTGTGTGTGTGTGTGTGTGTCACAGTGTATGTAAGTGCCTCACAGTATAAGCAGTGCGTGTATGTATGCATGTAGGGGTGTGTTTTAGTTTTTCTCAGGAAGACCAACTGTCTGATTCTTGTTCCGGTTCGGCAAGTTGAACGGTTGGCGGATGTTGACCCGGTCTTTCTCCACCTCCAGATCTTCATCATACGGTTCCTCTTCATCTTCAGCCTCACTGTGATGAGGAGACGAGTGAAGAGAGTGGGCGGGAGACGGGGGAACTGAGGCGGGCCGCGGGTAACGGAAGCCTGTGGCCTGAATTATGTAAATAAAAGAATAAATGTCAACAAATATTTACATCTAGTTTTAGACAGCTGTCTAGAGCTGTCAGAGATTCTCAATCTTTTTGACTTCAAGGCCCCACATTGTCCACAACAATATTCAAAGGCCCCATGACTTGTCCAGTTTTATTTATTTTTACTTTCAAAATATTTTTAACTGAGTAGAAAAATGTATATTGTAAATATATTAAAATTACCATGGAAATTAAGACTCAAGTAATGTACATGACTATTCCTTGGCTAGAAATCACATTTTTAATATCTCATATATTCAGGTTTTTCATTGAGGAGGTGAATTAAAACAAGATATATCTTGATTTATAGTTTTTTATGTTAATTAAGTTAATTGTTGTTTTGTCTAATTTGAAATAATTTTAAGTCATCTTGAGGCCCCCTTTGAGGTCTGATGAGGACCCTGGTTGAGAATCGCTTTTCTAGATCATTAAACTTCAGATTTTTATTAAAATAAAACAAATAAACTCAATTTCAATATTATGCTTCATCATTTTAACTTACGGAAGTGGGTTCTTGAGGCTCATAGATGTAAGTGTCCGGGAAAGCTTTCGCTAAAGCCATATGGCGGGCAGAAACATAATACTAAGAAACAGAAACATGCTATATTAGTTCATGAACAATAAGCTGTTAGCTTTATTTTGATGCACATAAAGTTAATTGGACACATCTGGTGGCTGACAGTACCGGATGATCTGAAAATTCACTGTGTATTTTGTGTGTGTGTTATCTGACCCTGCCCAAATATCTCCAATCTAGCAAGTCACTGAGGCGCTCTGTCCGGTTCCTCTGAATGATCCTCTGCCTGCGGCTCTGCTGACAGAACTGAAACAGGAAAGACGTCAGCTGATTACAGGACTCATCCACCCCACGATACCGTCGATCCAGAATATAGATACCTGAAAGAGAGGGAATTTACAAGAATGTGCATTACACATAATGAAATGAAATAAATCTGATTCAAACAAAAATGAGAAAATCTTGTAGGTAATGTTCATCATTTCCATCATATATGTACAACTCTCACCGTAAGCTGATGGGTCGGCAATGTGCTCCTCCATGAAACAGCCAAATCCTGACAAGTTAGTGGAGACCGATGGGATGCCCATCACTGTACACTCAGCTGAGAAAATGATGCGTGCATTGTATTGAGTGGACGTTATTAATACATAATTCATACAATATCATTCAAAAGTTCGGGGTCAGTATTTAATTTTTTTAAGTCTCTTCTGCTCACCAAACTGCATTTAATTGATCAAAAAATCTGTAATATTGTGAAATTTTATTACAGCTTAAAATTTCACATGATGCTTCAGCTCAAGAAACATTTATTATTATTATCAATGTTGAATACGGTTGTGCTGCTTAATATTTTTGCTGCTTTTTTTATATTTTTGTGGAAACTGAGATACAATTTTTCTTTGATGAATAGAAAAAAATATTTTTTTAAAAATTATTTACTGTCACTTTTGATAAATGAAATGCATTCATTCTGAATAAAATGTATTTCTTGTTACTATAACAGAATATATAATTTCATGTATTAAAGCCATGTACTAAAAAAAGTGTTACAATATTACTGACCAAAGTTTTGAATGGATCATGCATGTACATAAATATGTACACGGTACACTGGTAGTGTGTGCAGTTTTACCTGGTGTGTATCCCCAGGGCTCATAGTAAGATGGAAATACTCCAAGATGGCAGCCTCTCACAAACTCCTCATAGTCCATTGGCAGGAGAGGAGAAGTTGAGGAGAGAAACTCTGGATGGAAGATTACCTAGTTAAGAATATGAGGCATTAAAGTGGATTCAGTTGTTTTTCTACATAAAGAATTAGTGCACCTTTAATTACATTATCCATTATAGTATAGTTATCTGAGTGAGTGTGTGTGTGTGTGCGCATGTACGAACCTTGACTCTGTCCTGAGCACTGTTAAAGAGGCCGATACGGCGGATGCAGTTGAGGATGGGGTCACTGCTGTCCTCCAGCATGTTGTGAGTACAGATGGGGGGCAGGCACTGGCGCTGGGTGGCGAAGATGGCACGTTTCATCATGGTGAAGTCCTCTTTATCTAACATCTTAGACACATCAGGCAGCTGTCCTCTAAAAACAAGAAAGCAAGCAATGTCACTCCTCAGAAGAGATTCATACATTTTTTAAAAACAGAACACAAAAACCAACTCACACTAAAAGAGATTCGTAGAGTTTCTTCCCAAAGCGCTCCTTCACAGTCTGTGCAGTGTCCCTGTCAATACAACAAAGACGGAATTTCACAACAAAATTCATTCACTGTTTCAACAGTCCCTGTGTCCAAGTAAAAATTTGGGGAAAATTGTATATGGTTTTTGAACAACATGAGTGCGAGTAAATAAGAAAAGTTAGTTTTAACCATTTTAACTACTCTTTTCAATCAGGTGACATTCTGAATACTGTTTAAGTAAATCTATAAATAAATAAATATATTCCTTTCTACATCATCACACATCCATCACTGCAGAATGGCAACAGAAAACAGGCAGTTGTGTTAGGATGCTCTAGACCAGGGGTTCTCAAAGTCTACACTCAAAGGTCCAAATCTGAACTTTCATCAGTGTCAAAGGTCCGGACCGGAACAATTAGTTTTTAATAAACATACATAACATGCATAACAAATAAACATTGTTTTTTTGTTTTTTTAAATAAAGTGCAAAAGTGGCAAAACAATTAATTTAAGTGTCAGCAATAGAGGTCAACCCAATAAGGGTTTTTCTCTGGCCGATGCCGATATTTAGAAATCAGGGCAGCCAATGGCCGATATATGATGCTGATTTTTTTTGGCCGATATGTTTGGCCGATTTTTTTATTTTTTTTTTCTTTCTCATAAAAGCGAGTTTGAATAAATGATTATTGCAGGGCACAAGATGGTAATAGTAGTAGTAGTAGTAGTAGCCTAAATCACAGCAATAATACATGGCTCCAAGCACCTTCTCAAAACAGTTCTGAAGCATGCTTTGTGTTTATGTTTGCTGACAGACACCAGTGTTTCTTCCAGACTTGCAAATGCACATCCATTCTCCGCCAGCAGGAGGTGCTGTTGGAGCGGAGACATAGCGGTTTCCCCGGTAACGGCTGTAATCAAATACAAAACGCTAGGAAAGACGAAATGAAAATGACAGCAAAGCTTTTCTGAAGACGGTCGGTTCTTTTCAATTATACATTCATATAAAAAAAACTGAGCACTGCTTTTCTTTTGGAAAATCTATTTGTGGCGGTCAGTTTTGATTCTGTGACGGGCCGCCACAAATAACTCAATATATGGGAAACACTGGACATAAATCTAAGTGATAACAAAAATAAATAAATAAATATTTACTCATATTACCTGTGAAATGTCGTCCGATTATGTCAAAGGTCATAGGCTCACTGGATGTCATGACAACAAATGTCATGAAGCAAAAGTTTCAATATCTCGCCTTCACTTTAATTTCGGACCATCTCCAAAAAGACATTAAAAAACTAAACATA